TAGATTCCTAACCGTGCAGAAATGTTGGCCAATCAGAAGTCTAGAAGCCTCGGTGGGAAAAAGTAAACAAAGCTGGGGCATAGAAGCAGAACCGAGCCGTATGTGTGGAGGACAGTAACTGGGTGTATATGTAAGCATTTAAACACTGCAGAGAGTAGAATTAACAGTAACAGTATTGTAGAAATTCATTTCACCGAAACAATAACGTGGCGCACAGTGTGACGCATGCACCAGTTTATTGTATTTCCAGACTTGCTTTCGGCACAATTTACAGTGCACGCTACTCTGTTTTTTGTCAGACTTGAAATAGCCGAAATACCTTCACACTACGGAACTTCTATGGCTCTTCCGTTCGACAATCTCTCCGGCTTGGAACCATCATCTGTTTTCTCTTCGGTCACGCTCGGTTGATTTTTCTAGTCGGCACACTCATTTCCTCCATTACCCGCTGGCTGCTTCCCAAACAAACACACGTGCGGCTTGGCACTTGTGCTGTACGTAACAAGTCACGCGACGTGACGCTGCGGCTGTGATTGGTTCGGCTCTGCGCTACTTAATTTGGATTGGCTGACCTTTTTTTTTTGAGGACAAGAGCGGCGAGGTCTATCGCGATAGCTTAATTTCTCTATCGAGTAAAAGTTATATCGCGATACATATCGTTATCGTTCTATCGCCCAGCTCTAGTACTGGAACAGATTACTTTATCTTCTAAGAGAAAAGGTAAACCAGTGCATTCCAAGTAGTGTGTAATGCATCATAACAGGCCATCTGCAGATTGAAGATCACATGAAATGGTGAAAAGCTTCAAAGAAGTGTTTGCACAACTTTCGTGAAGGTCCATAGGAAAAAAAATCTAAATACGGTAATAATTCATTTCTGCATTCCTCTTTCTGCTTCTTGAATCCATCCATCCTTTTTTTTCTTTCCCTTTCAAGTTGATTTCTTTGCTCCTTCCAAATGCATCTCAAAAAAGACACTGCAGCATCTAACTTAATTCTGGAAAATCTACTCTGGCCTCGTCTCCTCTCTGTGTGCCTTCCTGTGTGTGTGTGTGTGTGTGTGTGTGTGTGTGTGTGTGTGTGTGTGTGTGTGTGTGTGTGTGTGTGTGTGTGTGTCTCACTCTCTGTCTGTCTGTAGGGCAAATCAATAGGCCCTGGCTGCCTATTTGCTGCCAAGTATGGTCAGCTGTGACCACTCAAAACAACCAAAAGGAAGGAAGTAAGGAAGGAAGAGAGAGAGATGAGACACCTACTCACTGTATGTTTTACCCAGTTCAGTCAGCCACTGAACTACATACTCACACAGACCATGACTCCCAAAAAGCCCCTCCCACCTTCCGTTCCACGTCTCAAAAAACAATGGAGCAAAAGCAGAAGAGGCTGAACAAAAAGATACTGTATATAGCGTGAAGATGTAGGCGAATATAAGTGTAAAGGCCACTGTGGAATACCCCGGACAAGCAGCATACACTAAGATCTGATAACAGACACCAAGTTCCCATTTGTGGCTTTATATGAAAGTTTGAAAGGAAGCAACAAATAGCCAATCGACACTACCCCATATTCATGCCATCCTTAGCACTGAGGCAGAGAACAAAGGCTTGATTTCTCATTAGCAATAAAAACAGCATCTGTTCGCTAATGAGCAAAGTTCAATATGCTGTAAGGAACTGTGTTATTCCGTAGTCACAAGACTCCCTGCGAATCTAGCCGCGGCACTCATGGGATCACAGAAAGCCTCTCGACCTTCTCCTTAAACTTATCCACTCCGACTCTGTCTTTTGTCTCTAATGCTTGTGGAACTGTGCCGGGATCAGCGGCCTGGCATTCTTCCATCACTGCAGCCGCTTAAGCTCTCCTACTTCACAAATGGCATAGAGCTCTGAGAAAAGAAAAAAAAATAGGACAAGAAAGAAAGTGTTCGTGGAAAAGAGAAAAAAAGAAATCTGTGAAGTTCCCCCGTGTCACTGAGGCTTGCCTCCCCGTGGCCGGGGCAAACTGGACAGGATTTGTGCCGCACACTGTGTCACAGCCTCGTTGGAGGATTTATAGAGTGCTCCCTATAATGCACTTCCTCTCCTCCACTGGAGTGGACATAAATCTGCCTCTATTTTTTTGACACCCCCCTTTTTTATTTGCTAATGGGATCCTCAAATGCCTATCCTCTTGGCTTGTCTTTATCCCCTCTACACACACACACATAAAAGCACTAGCTCACACACACACAGTTGCACATGCAGAAGCTCAATAAGGAATGGCATAAATTATAATACCTGCATTGATTAATCCTGCAACTTCTCTAGCAGATGTCCGAGCAGCCAGCTGGTTAGCACGGAGCCTCTTTCACTGGCTGAATATTACACTCTTAGCTGCTTACACGCTCACTGATGGGGGGGGGGGGGGGGGGGGACCTACAGTGTGTTTATCTGGATATAACAAAGCAGCAAAAAGGTTCCCCCAACAACGAGTCACACAGTGGGCAGCTGAATTAAAATACAGTGTGCTGGTAATGAGCTATCTAAATTCAGAGTTCATATTACTTGGAATTACACAAAAGCAAGGCTCCGGGCAGCCCTGGCAAAAAACTGTATAGCTCTTTCTGCCTCGCTGCTAGGAGATTCTCCCTGTTGAGCTGGGACACGGTCGGTCCTGGGGAAATCGATTGAGCCGCAGCGTGTATCTAGCGAACGCAATAATTCTTTTGTAAACGACATCACCTCCTTGCCTATTTTTGCATACTTGGCAGCTGTCAACATGTTGGCTTCAATCCATCACTCTCGCTCCGAGCGCATGCACACACACATATGCAAAGGGGGTGTTAACACTTCAAGCTCTGATTATTGACAACTAAGTAAGAAACACACGCTTGCATGCCGAGTCTGACTGGATGACTCGAGGGTGACGGTGCTTAAAGGAAGTCGCCTTCCTGGAATGAAACGGTGGCTAAACACAAAATGACAGGAGCGGCGGTGCTTCAAAGTTATCTGGGAAACAAGTTTGTATACTGGCCCTGCAGAGGTAGATCCCTCTCCGGCGCCTGACACGGATGCACTCTTTCAGTTGTTATCTCAAAAGCTGAAAGTGAGAACCAGACTTGGAGTTAAGGAAAAAAAAGGAAATGGGGAATGGTGCTTCTTATTGTGCCTGCTTCCCAGAAGCTGTGACAGGAAGCAGGAACGGGTGGTAAAGGTTGGGCAATGTACAGAGCAACAGATAGCAGCAGATAGGCAGATACTGGATACAATAGCCTCTTATTTTCTCCTGGATTTAACTGCACTATACAGTGTCCCAGGGGAATCAATTAGAACCATGGTGTGCTTGGTTTTTTCCACCCCCATTGACTTGGCAGTAATTTGTTTACTTCACAGCCAAGCTCTGGATAACAAAAAACACACACACACACAATAAATCCTTCCTTACAAAGCAACCTTACCCTTTCTTTCTGGCCATATTACATCTATGAACTAATCCAGTTAATACCCTAATAGGTAACATGTATTTGCACATGATAGACAGCCCCACTGTTGCTTGCGTGCAACTGAAAAGTGCATTAAAGGCAAAACTTTGACCTCTTGGCCAGGTTGCAGCCCACAGCAGGTCTATTAGCATATCTTTTCCTTACACACACACACACACACACACGCAGAAAAGATTGCAGCTGTAGGCAGCCAGCCGACCAGCAACAGGGAGGATCTTCCCCGTGTCAGAAGGCGAGGAGGATGAACAGCTTATCACAGTTCTGGTGCCGCGTGGCTGCCAGATGAAACTGACAGGTGTCACCTTGTTATTTTGCTGTGCAAAAGCCCGCCCAGGTCTACAGGGAGTTGATTAGCATGAACCTGTTGCCGCATTTACCTGCTTACCTACGGCACATGCCAGTTTCACAAGAGGACTGAGCGGCCCCGCTGCAGTGGGGATGCTGGGAGACCTAAAATTAGCTCAGCAGCGAAGCAAAACTGCCAACAGTATGGCACAGATTTATGACATCTGGACGTCATTATCGTATATCAGGTGGCTTGGGGGATTTTTCGTGGCGCGTGTTTTGCAATTTGAAATGAGCCAAAAGTAAGTGCCAGTACTTAGAGGCAGTTTGTGGACTGACACAGGTACACACACAAAAGCGCATGACTTTTAAAGGACTCTCATAAAAGTTTGATTGGATCTTGAAAGCTTCGACTGCTTTTGCAGAATTTGCCATATTTAGCTGCTTACATAGGTACATATCTTTGCAACACTAAGCTGGGGGCTGCCACGTTACATACATGTGCATGGCATGTGTATCCTCAGGCAAAGACATTGCCTTATTCCTTTTCCAAGATCCTGGACTTCAGAAGTGAGTCATGCAGATTCTCTCAAACAATAAGCTCATGACAGGTCACACTAACCCCCCCCCCAAATATATATACGCATGCATGCATGGATGATTTTTTTTGTTTGTTTGTTTAATTAAAACTTCTGCTTCGCTTTTCCCCTGCCTATTCCTCCGCCTATCAGTCACAATCAGCAGAAAACAGGAAAGCCTGTAACCTCAAATAGTGCAGGACGATGCTTCATCTACACCACAAATATGAAGAAACAAATGTGAAGAGGGTGAGCTACTATAACAAAAGTCGTAATCAATTTTCTAGCAATGCCACCTGAGATTAGCCCACCCTATAATATAGGCCATAACAAGGTCACTGTACGCTCTTTATTGAGTAACACAGAGCGACTGTAGTGATGCCACAGAAGATAAAAACGAATACTTCCGAGTGCCATCGGGGGCTGCACCGTCGTACAGTTATTATCAAGTGCTAAGTATCCACAAGTCCACGCAGAAACACCAGCGGAAAATTACAGCCCTGTCTTGGAGTGAGGAACAAAACGCGCACACAGTGCAATCAGCAGAAACATCAATTAGTTCGCCTCATCAGATGGTCATCCCTCTGCATCCACAGCCACCCACTATAATAATAATAAAGCACACTGGCAGACGGGCACGCTGCCCTTCACCTACCGTACCTTTGGTGTGAGCGGCGCTCAACCCCAAAACCAGAGCAGCCAGCACGCCGGCTATTCTCAGCATCTTCTCGTTGGAGATTCAGGAGAGGGACTAAGGCGACCTCCTTCCTCCTCTTCTCTCCTCTTTCTGCCTTTTTTATTTTCCTCCTCTCTCTCTCTCTCTCTCTCTCTCTCTCTCTCTCTCTCTCTCTCTCTCTCTCTCTCCTTTCCGCCCTCTCTCTCTCCGCGGGGTCTCTCCTCTCTCTCTGTTGAGGCAGTGTGGAAACAGTTCACTGATATGTGGGACAAGCCGGGGGAGCGTGGAAGTAGAAGGACAGCGGATAACCGCAACGCACCTCGCCGCTCGGCACCGCGCGCGTCGCACCGCAGGCTGCTCGGACTGTGGAGACGGGACCAGAGAGCGGCGGACCCCCGGGACCACACCGAGCTACGTCATGAAGAGGAGAGAGATGGACCCGGCGCTTTTCCTTTTCTTTCTTTTCTTTTTCTTTTTTTTCTGTCGCTCTCCCCGTCTCCCTCTCACTCTCTCATCCTCCGCCCTCCTCGCTCTCCTCCTCCTCCCTATCTGTAGAGCATCCCAGCCCACTCCAACAGCAGCGTGCAGTGATCCCTAATGTTACAAAAAACGAGAGGGTGAGGGAGTTTGAAAAGAAGCTATTTGAATGGATTCCGTGTACAACACTGTTGGGTTGTCAGCGAGTATTTCTATAATAAAAAATAAAGCCGAAACAATTGAACTACAAGCGCTAAAGGCTCATTACAACACCATCAGAGTTAAACGCTACAATGCCATTAGAAAGCAGTGCATATAACAATGCTGTAATTGCGATGAAGGGGAAAGGGCCATACAATTAAGGCACGGTAAATTTAAACGGAATATCCAGGAAGTGATTTTAATACTGCAGCGTTTTTTTGTTTTTTTGTTGCCACTCATTAACGTGTTGTTGCTCTAAAGCAGTCCTAATTTACTGTGCAGGCTGGTGTGTCCGCAAGTCAGATCTATAGTTTTGAATAATCTACAATTTAACTGACATGGATATTTGTGGATTTACAGACTCCAGTTGTTTTAAGCTTGAAACACTGACACTCGAATGTAAGTTGCAAAAATGTTACTGCTTTGTTTTTGGTTTTTGGGTTTGTTTGTTTTTAGAAAGATTGTAAAGTATTTAAAAAATACGTTAATGAGTTTTTCGTCTGGTTTTTTTTTTTTGGGGGGGGGGGGGGGGGGGGGGGTGGCTGTCATATTTAGCCCAGAGGTTGGCTGTGAACCTATGAGCAGAGAGCTAGCAAGGTTCGTTAGCAAGCTGCACAGACACTTCTCTGTCTGTAGTGAGGCAGAAACTTCTAGGGCAAGTTTTGCATCACAACAAGACAGATATATAATTTGAGAGTATATTTATTAATATTCCAAAAGGTGCCAATGCCACAACCATGGCTAAGAGGTCCTTTTGAGTGTCTTCTATTACCTGAGGTGAGGCCTAGCTGACGAGCTTTAGCTGCCCAAATGAGCAAACAGGCCTCTACATTTAAGCCTTAGGAGCAGAGGTGTCTAACATAAGGCCCAGGGGTAAGAATCAGCCCACTAAACACTCTAATCCGGCCCACTGGACACCTTTGGAAAATGTAAAGAACCGCATAGATTTTTTTTCCTCCTGAAATTGTTATTTCTTACAATTTATGCACAAAGAGTTATGTTGGCAGATTTCTTACAGTTACCACAGCACCATTTCTTTAGCATGTAGAAAAACTGAGACTTACCATTGAAACTGCACTACTTATAAGAAGCTAGAAGAAGAATTCAATGTGTAGTTAAACTGGGAGTTTCACTGGTCTGGCCCATGTAGGTTCAAAGTGAGCTGTATGTGGCCCACGGTGTAAAATTAGTCTGACATCTCACATCAAACATAATCATGATCATGATGGATGTTGTTTTTTTTTTTTTTTTAAATCCCCTGCCATACAGGTGTGATGAAGGAGGAAACTATCCATAAAGCCCAAGTGACTATTAGAGGAACTGCAGTTTTTGGCACTTTCACACTGGATTTATTTTGACAGTGCCAGAGGTTGCTGCTTGGTTCAGACATTTACGCTGCTTCGTGAAATGGGCAATGAAATTAAAAATCACTGTGCAACATGACTCATGTTTGCAGAGAAAGAGCACAATTTCTTTGCATGTTTCAAATTGGGAGTGGGGGGAAATCTCATTTCATTCTTCTACCTTTGTCTGGAAGGTGTGCGTGTGTCAATGTGTATGTGTGGGTGTGTGCTGGCATGCGTGCAGGTTTGTATATGCCTTGTTGTTGATGCTGCGCAGCGGGATTAATAAGAACTTTTTCAATTTTCCTGAGTAGCCTATCTCAAAAGGGATTTTTCTTCTTTTGGACCATCTCTGCTGGTTAAGGATTATTCTGGGAGGCAGAGGAAAATATTGCCTCCGTTATCTACGGGGGGTAAGAAACAGATGACAATGCTCTGATTTAAATCCACACAATCCAGTGATGAAATTAAATTTTGGTCTTCGTTTCACTGGAAAATGACCAAAGTGGTGTATAGCTTACAAGGGTGTGTGTACAAAGAGGTGACGGAGCAGAGCAGTGTCTTTCTAGATAGCATGCTTCGACTTTAACAACCCAAGGAATATGTTGCATAAAGAAGACTCGAGTGAACGGTTGGGTGACATAGGGGAAAAATATCAACAAAATGCATCACAGTAGGAAAATAAAGTGTTGAGTGATCATTTGCACCCAGAACAGCTTGAGTAAACACTGGGATTGATACTAAAATATACTCCCTTATTTGTTATTTTAATGATCATTCAAATCATTTTCATAGTCAAACCATTCACTGTGTACTCAGATGAAGGTGAGCTACATGAGCAACTTTACAGGCTAGCATAACAGAGACATCAGGACTCAGAGGGTTAAGCTTTTGCTACAGTTCATCACCTGTTCCTTTAATTTTTTGTTTCCTCTTTTTTGTCATTCATAGCTGAAAGAGAATCTATTACACTTTTTTAAATTTTCTGACTATACAGTTACATAGTCAGAAAATTCAGAACAGTACAAATGAAAGCTACATGAGCTAATCTCATGTAGCTGCCAATCAGCAGAAAGTTGGCTTAAAGGGAGGGGGAAGGAAAGTGAAGCGTCAGTTTCAGATGAATGATCAACTGAGGTGATGTGTTCTTTAAAGCTGCAATAGTAGAGTCCGAAAATAACAACATGGAGCTTCTAATCAGTCCCCTTTAAACACCTCTGAGGGTATATACTATAAGCTATTATATTCCACAAGGCTTTAAAGCTTAGGGACAGCTCTTCTCCAAATTATTAATCTGCAGACGCAAATACTATATCACAGAAAAGCAGGGCCCATAATAATGTAGCAAGGCAAGTCACCTGGCAAGATACGTCCTGAATGTGACAGAAGTTTCCATATCAGTAACTGAGCTGCATCAGGCAAAATACTTCAATTTTTTTCATCAGGGCTATTTTCAAAATTACAACCTGCTGCAAATGGCCAATTTTGTGAGAATCCCGTTTCTGCTCTCCAGGTTTTTGATGCTTTTTCATTATTGACACACATTATGCCCACCAGGCTACCGTATCTACCACCCTGGGAATAGTGAATTGGGAGCCATAATGCTAATGCGATATCACACCATGTCCGTCTGTCTGCTCAGAGTCCAGAGAAAACTTTCGCTCGCAACGCGCCCCGTCAGGCAATCTAACCCGGCCGAGCGGTTTTAATGTGCAATTCTGGTCGCCTCATGGAAGTATTTCACTTTTGGGAGATATTACCGGCTACTATATGATGATGGAAACCTTAGGAAGGATGACAATATTAGTTTACTATTGTGCAATAAATATATAATGTCAGAACGTAGCCCTTCCAGAACAAATGAAGCACCGGCAAGGATTTAAATAAAACACAATCTGGGTAATTCAGAGGAGAATGTTGATGTTACGTTTTCTTTTTTTTTTACTGATAGCTTTGTTTCATATTAATTTTCTTATCTTTGAATCTCAATCTGCTCTGAGTTAATTCCATATCTCTTTACTATGCACCGTCACCCTGACTGCAACAACTGACACTGAACACAGCGGAACACAATGAAGCTTTTGTGACTCAGCAGGCTTAATCAGCAATAACTTATTGTGTGGAACATTGTGGCCACTTACCAAAGATTTGTGAGTCATAGCCAGAATGCTACACACATAGGTGTGGCTAGCGGTCAAGCTTGTTCTCATGTGCCTTTGCTCTTGCATAAAGTTTAGATGCAGGACCGTGGCACACAAAGAAGACAGATGCATGTAGAACACTGACTTTAAACTTTCACTTTGCACACCCAGGAATTGTGCACAGACACACAGCTTTTTCCAGTAAATCAGGTCTGGCTGGAGATCCCTCTGTGCACAGCGAGTGTGACAGATAGAAAAGCACAGTCGTGCATCTTAATTTGATCATTTGCTGAACACATGGAGAGAATAGAAACAGCATCGTCTTCATTGCAGGAGCTAATGGTCCATTGTGCTGCTATTTGGAATATAATCATGGAGAGAAGTGAATGCCTTATTTGTGTGCATTTTTTTTAGTAGTCAGTTTCAGAGTTTGGACATTAGCTTGCGGGGGAATGTGTTGACAGTTAAAAATGTTTTATTTTCAAAATTTTGTAAAGCAGGTCCAAGCCAGACCCCAATGTCATTCCCATTGTTCTCCTGCCTGCTGAATGCTCTTAACCTCAGTATTCCATCCTATGACTGTGGGGACTCTCCCAGCATCTTGATCCTTCTCCCTCAGTTGAGAGATCATTTTTTCTCAAGTAATGACGCTCCCATGTTTCCTTTTGATCTTTTATACCATATCTCCACGTGCACAAAGCCTTTGCTTTACTCCATGTTTTGTTCTTCTTCTAAGCTCTGTGTATAGACTAATCACTCTACTGTCACGACATCACATCTCTCCATCTCCCTCCCCCTCCTCTCCCCTCTCACCCTCGCTGTCCAGTAAGTGTGTGTGTGTGTTTGACAAGAGTGCAATGCCTCGGCATGCTCCCACTGACAGCTGGCTGAGGCTGTAGGAGGAGGTGAGGACGGGGAAGGGTAGGCATGAGAGGCGGCTGAGAAAGGCAGAGAGATAGACCACCATCCCCCTGGCGTTTCCCCCCGGCTTTTTCTGAGGAAGTGTCGGTGGCGGCGCTTTGATGCCGCCTACATCATGCAGAGGTCTGAAGCTGTGAGAATGCCTTCTGGCCCCGTTTTGCCTTGTCTCACTGGCAGGAACTGGGCCAGAAGTTGTCATCTGCTCAAAGCCTTGCACATTTCTCAATCCCATTACTGAAAACTGTAAGAGAAAATATTGTTTCCTCTCCCGTCAGAAAAACCCAAACACTTAAATTTTATGTCTTTAACTCAGTCATTTTTACTTCTTCTTTAAACATTAAACTTGGTAAAAAAAAAACAAAACATTTTTTACTAGAACACAACAATACTAGACTAGGCTTTATTTTATTTTAGAGACCAAAATAAATCCCTCACATGCAGGTGCATTTTTGAAATATAAAAGCTTTTATTTGTACTGTTCTGAAGTTGCAGAATTGTGAGTAGACAATACAAGACTTTCAGGTTTTTCACTTTATTATTCAGGGCCACCATAGATATATATCACATTTATTCGTTACTTATTCTGAACAGCAGTTACAGGTGACTAAGCGTCACGTGTATGAGAGTTCAGTCCTTTCTCACGCACTGTAGCTCAGTCTCATTATTGCAATGCATCCAAAACCAATTCAGGTCATCTTGATTTCCTCTAAAATGAACATGAAAAAAGAAAAAGAGGTTCCTTTTTTTTTAAAGCATGAGTGATACTACAAAGAATACTCTTGCCTGTAAAGATTTGAGTATGTTGAATAAAATTGTATTTATTCAACATGCTTCACACAGAAGAAAAAAAGCTGAAAGGTAGGTGATGAAATGAAAACGTCCTTTTTAAACTTTTTAACAAATAAGAACCTAAACAAAAAATTTTCACATGATAACAATAGGGCTGCCACAAACGATTATTTTGAGAGTCGACTAATCACCGATTATTTTTGCGATTAGGTTTGAAAACGATTTGCCGGGAGTCCGGTGTTCTAACGGGCTCTAGTGAGCCTTGCCCCCGGCTAGCTATCGAGCTAGTGGGTAACAGACGTCTCCGAAAACGTCGGAGCGCTTTTGAAAATGTGTGGTGTCTTGATAAACTGAGCAGATATTTGACGTTTACACAGCTACATTCTCACCTGAAATATGTTAAACGTTTATTTTGTGACCCAGAAAGAATAATAAGAGTAATATTAAAACTAACTAGCTGCCACCGTTGTTGGAAACTGACCTGGGCTGGACTATGAATTCTGGGACAGAGCTACTTCTTCTTCGGGGTTTAACGGCAGCTGGCATCCTTGTACATGCAGTGCTGCCATCTTCTGTTTCAGTCCGTTATTACACTCTTAATCCTACTACTTATTCCTGCGGCTGTTGTGATCTTACAAAGCTTCAAACGACGCGTCGACTATTAAATCGGTCGTCGACGATTTTGATAGTCGACGTAATCGTGACTAGTTGACTACTCATGGCAGCCCTAGATAACAATATCCTTTCATTCTCTGCAGTGCACATTACACCTCATACAGTCATGTGAAAAAGAAAGTACAAACTCTATCAAGTCAAATGGTTCACATATCACAACATAATAAAGCAAATAATAATAATTAGTTCTTATCAGTTTCTAAAATTATTTAAGTACACACTCAGATGAACATTAGACACATTACACCATGCCATTTACTGAAAAAGAGCCAGAATGCAGAAGCAGAAGAACTATGTGCATCCTGTAATTCAACAGTGTAGAGACACTTTTATGAAGTAACTGTTTTCAGTCTGACTTTATCAGACTCTCACATCATTGTGGTTGAATTGTGGTCGACTCTTAATGCATTTGTTAATGCACAGCTCTCTTAAAGATACAGCGAGAAATTATTTAGTTATTTATTAGTGTATTATTGTGTCTCACAACAAATTGATGCATTCTCATAAGCAGAATTATTCCAATAAAAATAGGAAGGAGCGGGTGCTGGTTTGTGGGAAGCCTCATCTCCTGAACTCAAGTCAGGCCTCTAAAACACGAAAATGTGAATGAATGTGCGTATTTATACTATACAATACTACAATTCTACTACGCAATTAGTTATTGTCAGTAGATCCGATAAAGCAGTAGTCCCCAACCTTTTTTGCTTATGTTCGACAATATTTTCACAGACTGGCCTTTTAGGTGTCGTGGATAAATACAACAAAAATAAAACCAGTACCGGTACCAAAAAAAAGACTTATTCATAACACATGGGAAAAGACCCAGGGAAACTGAGTTAATGATAAAAACAATTAAAAAAAATAACAATAAAAACCACTAAAAACCCCTGAAAACCACAAATTTCACACCCGAGCCTCAACTTTCGCAGCCTGGTACCAAATGACTCCGATCCGTGGCACGGGGGTTGGGGCCTGCTAAGATAAAGGATTGCTTACACTTGGCACTGCTGCTGCGCTTGAATTAGAAGGGAATAAAAAAAAAACCTTAAAAATCTCAAAACTCAGTTGACTGTAATCTACAATTTACTCACATCTAGTGGTGAGATTCTACACACTGCACCTATAAAGTCCTACCAAACCACTTCAGCACTTGACCGAGCTGATAGGTTTGTAGCTTGAACCTATTCGCTGGACAATCAACAATACAAAACCTAACACGAGCCACCTATTATTTTTCAGTCATTCTGGTGCATATGTCACATGTCGAGGTTGGCCCAAGCTTCAGCTGTACTTGTGCTTGACAGTTGGTGTTTGTGCTGATATGGTGTGTTTGCTTTTCACCAAATGTTGCACCATGCATTTGGGCCACACAGTTCTATTTTCATCTTATCTGTCCAAAGGAGAAGTGAGACCTGTGTTTCAGAAGTCTTGTGGTTTGTTCACTAAGCCATGCTGCCATGTTCTTTTCAGAAAGTAGAGGCTTTGTCCTGGCAGCCCTTCCAAAGAAGGCGTACTTGTTCAGTCTTTTTCTAATTGTGCTGTCATGAACTGTTTAAGGTTTAGCCAAAAGAGTGACTGATACAATAAAATGACTTACAACACAGAGAATAGGGTCTAGTGCTTTAGCGATTGAGAACCTTGTAAAATGGGATTTTCCCCCTGACTGTTGTGACACAGAAAAGAAAAACATTTAACTTGATTGGATGGAGCCACTTCCTGCACATGCAAGGACGATAGCCATTTGTCTGCTCATTGCTGTTTTGGTAGCTCTGCATTTCTTTTTGTCTCTTCCTCCTTTCTGCCCCCCTTTGCTTGGTTTTTGGCTCTTTGTTCTGCGTGACTCTCCACAGTCACTAAAGCTGCTGCTGTCTTTGAATAGTAGTCCTCCTCTGGTCCAAGGGAGACTTGGCTGCAGCACAGCAGGCTTGTTTGTGGGCCTTGGCAGGAGAGGCTTGCAGACCTGAATGTAACTACTTAGGGTCTTTTTTTATGGCATGAATGTGTTTGTGCTGTTGTGTGTGTGTGATATGTGATAGAGAAACAAACAGCGGAATTTGTGTGTTTGCGTTTGTGTGTGGTGTGTATGTGTCTAAGTGTGTGTGTATGTGTGGTCTGTCTGTGTGTATTCATGGTGTGTATGTGTGGTGTGTGCATATGTGTGTCTGTGTGTGTATGTGTGGTGTATATGTGTGTGCGTCTGTGGTTTTCTGGTTGTTGTTTTTTTTTCTTTTACCTTGGGGGTGGAGGGTCAGCTGACCGTGACCAGACTTTGCACACACATTCATGCCCCAGTCAGAGCCTCCCATCCCTCCAGATCTGGTGTATCAGCCACTTACAGATGGAGAGCTTCAAATAAACATGAACAACCTTGATTTAGACATATACAAGGGGGGAAAAACGAACCCAAAAGAAACTCCAAAATACACCTTAATTCTGGGACAAACCAATCAATCATCACCCCTATGGAAAGCAATGATATGTTCCATTTAGAAAACACATATTTTTGTGACTATTATTCATTTAATTTGACAATATTTAAAGAAGAAACAAAAGTAAGAAAAGAAAGAAAGGCTGTAAAAATTGATTGAAAAAAGACTGTTTGATTTTGTAGAACTACCAGAGAAGTTAATAAAAAATGAAAGAAGACAAATAAGAGCAGATGTTTTATGAACCATAAGACGTTTTATAAAAGCAGTACAGGTTGCTTATGTACGATAGCACTTTCCATTCAGCTTCTCAGTTTGCATTTGCTGGTAGAGGTTACACACGAAATTGACATTAAACGTGAGCTACGCAGAGGATGGAACTTCCTGAAAGCAGGTTTTCAACAGACAAAAGATGAATAATTATAAACTATGAGAAAATTAATAACTGATATGTGGCCTGCTGCAGACAAAGAGGTTTGAATGGCAATTTAACAAATTTAACAAAAGACATAAATATCTCTTTCTATTTTTTATTTTTGTTTATTTTACCACTGACTCAACAAAGAGAGCCTATGTAATAAAGACGAATTCAACCACAGTTAAAGCAAACATGAAAGCACGCATCTAAAGCATCTAAATGGCACAGGATGAACACACCGTGTAGAGAGTGGTTTTTGAGGTTTGGTGTTTTTCCATTACTAACCTAGTTACAAAGACAAATAACCGTTTAAGGTTAGCTGATGCTAGGTACAGATGACCGTGTAGTGAGTTTTGAATAACTTCAATTGTGCTTTATGTCTGGATTGTTTCACACCCAGAGCCTTTTTGGATTGTTTGCTACAAGCGTAGAGAGCTACCCGTCTCTTTGCCAAAACTCATAGGAGTCATACACAGCAAAATCTCCAGTGTTAAATTAACACTTTTGACAGTGTGATATGTTTAAAAGTAACCTAGTCAGTTTTGAAGATTAACAAAGACTAACACTGAGCAGTGCTGATTTTCTAACACTGGAATATTTCTAACATTTTGAGTTATTTTCCAGTGTTAGAAAATCAGCACTGCTCAGTGTTAGTCTTTGTTAATCTTCAAAACTGACTAGGTTACTTTTAAACATATAACACTGTCAAAAGTGTTAATTTAACACTCAACAGTGTTGTATTTAACACTCAGAGGTGTGGACCCATATAGACACTCTCTAGTGTTAATTTAACACTGGAGATTTTGCTGTGTAGGACTGGAGTGCTGCTGGCCTCCGTACTAAGATGCTGACAAAAAAGCACAACAGCCTCAGCTGCATTGAAGGATTTATACCCAAAGACACACACTTGACTTGCCAAATGATTATAAAGGTAATCAAAAGAAGGTCTTATCACAAAAATAAAAATGCCCCGTTTTCATATCTGCTGCGTATATAAAGGAATGACAGTAAATACCAGGGATAGTTGACATCGCTTCATTGAAAGCGCCAGCAACTGTGTGCTCACCTGGAGATGTCCTGCATGCAGGTTCCTGACATGCCTGTCACACATGTCCATCCCATCTTAACTTGGAGCTTGATCGTAAAAATATCCTGTCAGTAGTCAGCTTTAGAGCATGATTTGAACAATAAATCAAAAAAAAAAAATGAAAAACTAAAAAAACAAGGGGTGCTGTTTTAGCGCTAGAATGAATTAATATTCGCACCTGTATCTAGAAAAAAAATTATATACATCAAATGATACCAGAAGTAAAGATTTTTTTTCTTCCATATCAGATATAATAAACATGATAATTTAGTGCAACTTAGAACATCTGAGTGATTTTGCCTGCAAGCAATTCAGGCAGTTCACGGTGATCATTTATATTTCTATGTGTAAATTTTAGCTCTCATGCACAGCTGTCACTTTCTGCAACAGCAGCAGCTGCACCAATCCTTACAGCCTCAAAAAAGTTCATTCTGATGCCGTCAAAGGCATGCATCAATTTAAGTAATTTCCACTCAATCTTAGGGAAAAAACGCAGGTTTGAGAGTTGCTAACATAGTCAGTGAGGTTCATGACAGCTTGTAAAGCATTTGTGATTGAACTGTTTTGAAAACCTAAAACAGTAAAAAGCCGCTTTGCACATCTATTTCACATAATGACTCAAGACAAGCCAACACAGTGATGCAAACAGACTCTGGCATAATCTCTGACTTGCCAAGTATTTAATATTTATATATTTAAGAGCAACATTTAGAGCAAACTTTGTCTGATGGAACTAACAAAAGTTGTTAATTTTGGTACTTATTACACATTAGTTTACATTTCCAAGGCAACAGGAGAGCTTATACACTGTAAAAACAAAAACAATGCAAAACTAGATAGCTAGATAAATGACATGCAGAACTGGCCTTCTTAAATACTGATATTCATTTCCCCTTACAACCTTACTGTGAAACATTCTCACAAGAAACTGGGAAATCTGACTGGTCATGTTCGATGACTATTCAGTAGACCTGTCTGTGTCCTCTTTTTTCTTCCAGAAACCATCAAATGAGAAGTAATACAACAGTGGATCCAGACAGCAGTTCACACTGGCAAGACAATTCAGAGCCCGTTTATTATCAAAGAAAACAGTCAAGGACACGGGCAAGAAAAATATACTGAACATCAACAAGTTCATGGCAAAAATCAGCATGACGTTCACTCTGTTGTTGATCCTTGTGCTGATATTCAAATGTCTGTTTAGAGTCAAAGACACCAGAACTGTGGACACAATGTTGATGAACAGCAGGGTGAAGAGTAACACAAGCTGAAAATACGCTATTGGAGGAAAGAAGTCCTTCTTGTCATCAAAACAAGTGGAAACATTCGAAGTGTTGTTTTTCAAATAATTTAAAAGGTTCAGACTCTCTGGGATATTCACCATCACCACAATCAGCCAGACGAGCACAGCTCCTTTTGTGGCGTTGGACGAGGACCGAAGTTGGCGTGACTTCAGAGGGTAGACTACAGCCAGCAGCCGGTCGATGCTGATGAAGGTGATGAAGACTGCGCTGGAGCGGATGTTGTTGCGAAAAAGCATTGTGAGCCATACGCACGCCATGTTTCCCAGAGGCCATTTGTGTGTAGCATAAAAGTAGACCTTCATTGGTAAGGAGATGATGAGCAGGAGGTCTGAGATCACCAGGTTGATCATGAAGACAGCGTTGGGTGATTTGCGGCCGTGGTGGCGAAGAAGAATCCATAGCGACAGAGCGTTGAGAGGCAGTCCAAGCGTTATAACAGATCCATAAACTACGGCGTACACCGTGTCAGCTTCTGTTCCATTTCGTGCCATTTTGAGCCACGTTGATTTCGTGCATGTTTTGCGTGAGTGTGAAATGTAGAAGTGGGGGAAGTGACTGTATGAGTGTTAGAAACCGCAAGACACACCTCCCTGCAAATCACAAGTGCCAAAAACAGTGTGAAAAAAAAAAGTTCCAACAGTGCTGAAGTAGCAGAGAAAGCTGAAACAGGAAGTAACCGTATGAGAATGAAAGAGTTGTGTGGAACTAGTTCAGCGTGGGAGCCTAAAGTTGAAAGAAAAAAAAAGTTACAATTTCTTTTTTTCCTTTATGTAAAACTATAAATGTTCTCTGTGGATTATTTCAGGAATCCACAATCCTGTTTGTTTACACTTAGCTCCTTTCTGTGATAAAGTGTCATTAAAGATTTTAGTAACTGGTGGATTTTAATTTTTGATCGAAAAACAATAAAAGAATTCAAGAAATTTTACATCTGTTTTACAGGGAAATCAGAATTTTGTTTGAGTTCAAATCTGATTATCTGAAAAATATATTTTTAGTGCCTCACTGTTTAATCCAGTCTTCCTCTGCACAGAAATTGAAAATGTGTTCAAAACGTTACCCATCTTATTCCAGCATGTTGACATGCTCAGAACAAACTTGCTTGCTTCTTGTACAGGATGAAATCTATTCACTGGGAGGCGTCCACTTTCAGTGAAGGCAAAACTTCCCCATACTTGAATATTCCAGCTACTATGTTTCTCTTTGGGTGTTGCATACTACAGTGTTATGCACCACAATGTCACATTCTCACACCCGTTCTTCTGTTCTGATATCTAACATGGATTTACTAGCAAATAAGATTAAATAATTCTATGAAAATAAATTTGTTGCAGCATGTGAGACTTTCTTCTTCTCTGTGATGTGACAAAAAGAAAACGTGGCCATGAATTTTGGTTTTGTTTAAGTTTTTGATTGATTACAGTGTTCTGAAACACTTTGCGTGCCTTTGATGGCGTTGTCGTTTTTTTCATCTTAGTGAACATATCAATGCATCGAGATTATAATGTTATCCCTTTATGGTTGCATTTTTGTGATTTGGATACAGCTATTTAAGTTTTAACACTTAAATAGCTGTAAACTTACAGTACAGCCTAAACAGGTGCACATTAGCCAAATGAACACAAGTGTCAGTGGACTTTTTATCTTTCAGAGGAAGTTCTTTTTCTGCTTTCACAGTGCACAGTACAAGGAGGGTTTTTTTAGCTCATACTTTACAGTAGGGTCTTTCTAGCAAAAGAGGAACCTTTGAGTGACACAGGTGTATGCAGACGGGTTCAGACATAAGAAGTATACAGTTAGATTCATAAGCTTTAGGGCAATGATACGTTTTTGCTTCTCTGCACCGTTGCAGTGTGAGTCAAACAATCAAGATGTGATCATAGGAAAAAAAATGAATGTAATTCATGAACAATTGATGCCATACTTTTGTTAAATTCCTTCAATTAAACCTGAAGGTCTGTGCTTTAATCCCATGATTTAAAATCCAGTGTTGTGCTGTGAAAATGTAGCTGATTTCTTAGTCTTTTTTTATATATTTGTCACACTTACAGACTTCAGATCAAACAAATTTTATTATTGGACAGTGCTAACTCAAATAAATACAAAATGCAGCTTTTTAAAACGATTTCATTTATTAAGGTAAGCAGGCCAAAAGATCTCAAAAAGACATTGATCAGACTGGAAATGGTTCCAAAGCCATTTCTAAGGTTCGACACTCCACCACAGCAACAGCCATTGTGCTCAAATGGCGAAAACTTGAAACAATAGTGAAATTTTCTTGGGTTACTGCAAAATTACTCCAAGAGCGCAACAATGAAAAGAAAAAACACCCCAGAATAACATCTAGATAAATGCAGGCCTCACATGTTCTCAGGTAAGGTGTGAGTGCATGATTCAATAAGAAAGAGTTCTAAAGACAAAACCACTGCTGACCAAAAAAAAGGTTTCGTCTCACATTTGCCAAAAATACATCTTGATTAACCCCAAAACTTTAACTATTCTGTGAGCTGACCAGTTGTGCCTGCATTTGTGTTTTAGTGTGTGCGCGCCTGTGGGTGCTGCTACACCCACTGCACTTTACAATTACAAAATGGTAACACAGGAAACAACACAAGTCGTTGGATGTTTTAGGTGATAGAAACTGTACATCAAAACTATCTTAATAAGGAAACGTGAAAAGAGACTGAACTACAGAATGCCACTCTTGGTCATTGCCAACACTTCAGATAATGGAATTTGAGCAAATCATTGTTATTATTAAAGTTGTAAATAAACAAGAACACAAAGAAAAAAAACTGCACAGTGTCTGCTGCAAGGAGGTGCAAGGAACAGAAAGGCTTACCGATGGTGATAACAGCTTCGTATTCAGCAGCCCTATTGAGGTTGATGCAGTCACTGCCAGAAGCACAAATGCACATGAGGTTTGGTTTTGTACAGTTGTGTCTGGTGACTTGAAAGGCACGCAATGTCAATGAATCATTTTCTCCCACCACCAAATGATCTTAATCAGCACAACAAAACAGCGAAACAACTTGCCCACACTCAGGCATAGCATACGTAGCACGAAGTTTGATTGTGCCTTCAAAATACTACGTATCCTGTCAGCTAGTTTAATTTAAAACCATATTCTCGAGCTAGCTTCAAGAAACAATATGCGTGTGAAGTTTGACATATGTCTCTTCAGTTCCTCAATTCATATGGGCACTGAGGCACATTCGAGAGGTAACTCTAACTCTTATAAAGTGACTGGTCTGGCTCTTCTCCCAGGTTCAAACCAAAAGTTTATCATTTTTTCTCTTTATCTGAATCAGAGGCGGAGCCAGACATTTGAAACACCCGGGGCTTAGCCCTAAAGGGTAGTATGCATGTGGGATTTTTTTTTTTTTTTTGGGGGGGGGGGTTTAGAAATGACTGAAAGATTAATAGGCTCTGTTTTGAGTTTTGTTCGATAATGAATGACTTCATATAGGGAAAAATATATATCACATATACAGGACACCTTAAACTAGTTTTTTAATTAAGCAGCAAGGCAGAACAAGGTCAGGGCTGTATCAAGACACGTGGACTAAACCCCAATTCAACCAGACCCAGAACTGATCCGGAATTAAAGCAGGACTACAAGAGTTCAAAATCAGGACTACTTAGGACTTAATCAAGACAGAACCAGAATCAGAACTAGATGATAGTAGCACTAAAAATCATCATAGACCTGCACTACAATTATTTTTTTAATTCTACCAAAGTCCACTATTTAGATTGAGAAAAGTTTATATAATTATTTAGCCTTGTTGTGCAAACAAGCCTGCATAACTTAATAAATATAGAATTTGAAAAAATAACAAACCTAAAAAGAAACACTAGGTACGAGATACACGAGTACCTATGATACGGTGATACTTTTGATAAACAACCATTTGACTAACATGTGTGTCTCACCTGCTCTTGTTCCATCTGCTCTGTCCTCATTCTCTCTCTCCCTCTCTGTTCCTCTCTCTCCGTCTTTGTGCTGACAATCATCAAATATACAGTTGAAACCACATATTTATGTAGTCTTCAGATCAAAACACAAACACTTTTTTAATTGTAAGATCAAATCAGACTAAATGTTTATTTTTTTAGATTGATAAATATAAAAAACATATTTGTTAACTTTAAGGGTAAAGAGAGAAACTATCTGTATTTCTTAATTGCAAATGGCACCAAATTGTATTCAAACTTGAGCCACATTTATGGAGCTCCACAGTTCTTTTCCTGGTATTTTGGTTGACATCTCTTGATTTCAAAGAAACAGGCTCTGTGTTTTGCCTTATATGCATCCACAGGTGTGCCACCAATTTACTCACATGGACTCTACTAACCTATCAGAAGCTTCTTCAGCTCAGAATGGAATCGTCTGCAGTTTCTTATTAATTAACAATAAACTTAGTGTATATGTAATCCTAAATGTGATCAAAGTGATAAAAAATAGACAGCTTGGTCTCTTTATTCTGACATTAAACTAATTCAAAAGATATTTCAATATTTATCTAAAACAAAAGTTTACTCTAAATTGATGTTGTACAGTAAAAATGTTTTCTCCCTAAAGTGTATGTAAATATCTGGTTATAAATGTGAATATCCTGCTGTGTACTGAAACCCCTCTTGTTTTGCATAGAAATATACTGAACAACATACAAAGCATAATATATGAAATAACATTTACCTGAGTTTTTTCTTTGAAAGAAGCCTCTAATGTCCATTCTTATATTTCAGTACATAACTGAAACCGATTTAGTCGGGGAGGGTAAGAACTGAAAATATGAAATAAACACATGTAAGCTAAGACTCTTAAAAAAATAGCATTTGTTCGCTTTTCATTTCGCCGTTTGTTGATTCACTTCAAGAGCAAGTAACGTAATATGGGTCAAGTGATCAGTTTGATATCAATCTTTCGTGATTCACCGTCATATTTACATTATTTGTACGGTACGAATGATTTGCTTTGGTACCTGGTCAAACTTAAGCTCTCCTTAGTATGGCTGGCTCAGTTTCTCCAACAGCGCACTCACAGGCGGCAGCTGCCCCGCCCCCTCGCTCAGTCGCTTAGTGCCTGAGCTCGGATCATACCAATATCAGGGGGGATTCACGCACAGTCGTAAATTCCCACAGTGTGCACTATGTGCTTCGAATATTGTGTGTACTTTTTCTTTTATACAGTTGTCAGCCAGACATCTAACTATGAAAAAATTACACTCCAAAAGACCCCGGGCTTCTGACAAAACAACCCGGGCTTAAGCCCAGTAAGCCACCCCCAGGCTCCGCCCCTGATCTGAATTGATTTACAATCAGTCTGTAGCAGTGACTTAATTTTCATCCAAATGGCTACTTTGCTATAATTTTAAATGATAATTGATTCATTTGAATTTTTTAATATTCAAGCGGTCAAACAGTGCTTCGCTTGCTTGTACTGGTTGCTGATTAGTGGCATACAGACATGTGAAAAAGACTGTATGCAGTTTTCTGTAAAACTAAACTGACTTACTGGTTCCATAAGAATTAAGAGGTTACCTAGCTGCTACTAATCGAATGCATCTGATTAATCGATCATCAGCAAGCGTTGGCAGTTTGCTGGTCTGAATGATCGAATGCCACAATATTATTAGTGGAAGACTCCGCAAATGCATCTCATGGTCAGAGAAATTAAAAAGAAAGCCTCCCTAGAGCTTCATGTCAGGCGCTACAGGCCTGAGTTAGCATGTAACTGTTAATCATGACAGCACTATCAGAAAAAGAAAAAGAAAGATTGTCAGGAAAAAACCTCCTCTCTATAAAAAGCACATGCAGCGCAGCTCAGGTTTGCATCTAAACAAACCACAAAACCTTTTTTTAGGTATAATGCACAGCACTGTGTTTGGTGATAACCAAAATACACAGCACAACAGCACAAACATGTCAGACCAATGTGCTGTCAGATTTGTAGCTACAATGGGTTTTTTTTTAAATGTCGCTCCACTTCTTAAAAAAACAACAAAAAAACAATCTGACTTTTTTTTACAAGGTACATCCAAACCCACAGGCATCAGGTAGATTTGCATAAAGACAGAAATGATGGGAACCTGGCTCTTCACAAAAAATCAACCACCACCTCTAAGACAAACTGACATTTTTAATTCTTTTAAGGCAATAGATTGTTCAACTATGAATCATATGTGTGAGAAAGATGTAATCATTTAAGGGTTGTCACAGAGTGGTACGTTATCTGTAGTTCTGTTATGTTT